GGGCATCCTGTTGTCCTCCAGGACTCCCAGGTCTTGTTCCTCAGAGCTGCTCTCCAGCAGGTCACCCCTACCCTGTCCTGGTGCAGGGGGTTATTCCTCTCCAGGTGCAGCACCCTGCACACTTGCCCTTGTTGAAGTTCATCAGGTTCCTCTCTGCCCAACTCTCCAGTTGGAGAGTTCATTCTTGTCTTCTTTCTTGTACTGCAGTTCTTTCTTGTCTTCTGGGGTAAAAGTGAATGGAGGTGATTTGAACTGGGGAGCCCAGAACTGGACACAGTACTCCAGATGGGGCCTCACCAGGGCAGAGTAGAGGAGAAGGATGACCTGTCCTCATGTTCCCCTCTCGTGACACCCATGTCTCATGCACTGGAGATCTTTCCCTCCTTCATGATGCAGAGCTTTGAACTCCTTCCTTCCACTGTTAGCGTGGCTCAATTTCCAGTGTCACAACCATGACTTCCCATCATCTCCAGTTAGCACCCAGGTTCTCTTCCATGTTACTGGGCCCACCAGCTCAGAGGGAACTCTTAATACTTTTAATTTTCAGGTCCAGAGTGACCCCTGAGCAGGAATAACACCCTCTGGACAAAATTTAGACTTAAGCTTTTCATAGAATCATAGAATCATTCAGGTTGGAAGAGACCCTTGGGATCATCGAGTCCAACCATTGACCCTACTCTACAAAGTCCTCCCCTACACCATATCCCTCAGTAGTAAATGAGAAGACTTTTAAATGAAGATGGTTTAATATCTCTGGGATATCTTGTATTAGGCAGAATAGTAAGTAGGGCAGTGTTTCAGTATATAAAATTAATATCCAATATCTTGGATAGAAAGTCAACAAGAGTTAGTTACACAGCCAAGCCTTCTGGAATTAATAAATATAAAAACTACCGGCTTGCATTTTTAATAGAATATTTTTCCCTTCAACATACAGTAATTACCTAGAAAATCAACTTTGCTTACTTTGTCTTTTAACTAACGAAGTTTGTCGGGTAATTAGCTGTCAGCCCCACACGCCTCCTGGCACCATGAATGGCCTAATCCTGGCTGGTGTGAAATCTTGGGCTAAACTAAGAAGTCAGGAAGGAAACAGGAGGTATCATCAATTACCTTTTATTCCTTTTTTTTTTTTTCCACTAGATGGCACCTGGAAAAGGCTGACGATGCTTTAGTGCCCCCTGTCACTGTTGTTGGGCTTTTGTTGTGTTTTCATTTTCAAACGTAGCGGTCCTGGGGAGCCTTAAATATTTTAAAGTAACATAATTAAACCTGTTACTCAAAAGAAAGTCAAGATTTTTTGCTTACAGGGGTTTCACTGCTTGAGGAAAGGGTCATTTGTCTGGAGGGTGTTAATTTCCCACTCCGAACTGGATTTGTTTTTTAATATTTCATGCTGATTAAAATCCTTTCCAAAGGAAGAATGTACAATCCCCACGGTGGTAGGTCCTGGCTTGTGGCCGTGGATCCTGATAACGTGGTTTTGGTTGGAATCGTAGCATCACAGAAGGGTTTGGGTTGGAAGGGACCTTAAAGACCATCTAGTTCCAACTACCTGCCCTGGGCAGGGACATCTCCCACCAGACCAGGTTGCTCCAAGCCCCCTCCAACCTGGCCTTGAACATTTCCATAACCATAATAACGTTTAACACACAAATACTTTCTTTTACGTGTGAGTAGTTCCTCTAAGTCTTTGCTGTCTTAAAGAACCATGAAGGGTTAAGCAAATAGATGCTTCCATTCCTTAGAAAGCTGCTCAGTTCAGTGTGTGTGCTTCCCTCCTTGGCTTTCTAGATGTTTGCTACAGAAACATGCAGATGCTTGCTGGTTCCTCTATCTCCTCCAGGCCCTACTGGAAAGGGTGGGTTTGGTTGTTGTCATCCTGGGATTGTAGAAACGGAGGCAGCGAGGGATGTAAGGACGTGCTTGGAGGAGCTGTAGGATTCTGGTGTCCCTGAATTCCCTAAAGGCTGGGTTGTTCCATACCCTTGGCTTTTTTAGGAGCTGCCTGACTGGGATTTTTCCTCTTTTTAACAGGGTCGTTGCTTGTTTGCCAGCGGCAGTCCCTTCGACCTGGTGACTCTAAAGGATGGAAGAACCTTCAAACCAGGCCAAGGAAACAACGCTTATATTTTTCCAGGTAAGAACTACAATTATCATCCTTTTTAATCTTTAAGACTAGGCTATTTAGCACCTCTTCTTGGGTTCCCTTGTTACACTGGGCAGTTAGAGAAGCAGCACGAAAGAGGTGTGACCGGCATTTGAAGCTGAGAACTCAATCAGAAGAATGAATGAAAGAAAAGCAGTCAAGGAGGGGTTTTAGGCGACATGTACGCAGTGCACTCACCCAACTGGATCTTTCTAAGAGGATAAAAGTGTGTTATTAAATACTTTTAAATGGGTTTTCTGCTTGTTTTGGGGGGGGAAGGAGAAAATAAGTGTTGATACGTTCCTCTTGAAGTTGTATCTGCACGAGCAGGGGTGCAAAAGAAGCACTTAGGGATATTTTCTCTGCCCTCCCCTTTCTCTCCCTTTCCTCCCTGAGCTGCCAAGCTCCAACCCCTTGTCAAAAGCCACCTGTGATGGTAAATGACTGGCAGGCACGATAATAGTTCCATGAAATGTGTGTAAGAAAGGGATGGGAGTATTTTTAAAAATAACAGTGGAGATGACTGGCAGCTTCTCAGTGGCAGCAGGCTGTAGATTTTAAGCTGATGTGGCCCTAATTGGCAATAATTTTATTGTAGGCGTGGCTCTGGCTGTGATCCTCAGCAGTGTTCGACATATTAGTGATAAGGTTTTCCTAGAAGCTGCTAAGGTAAGTGTGGAAGCAGAGTAGGCTGTGGCTTCTGACACGATGGTGGATGGGTTTCTTGCTGAAACTCCTTCGTTTTCTGTTGGTTTTATCCCTCCCCAATGAATTTAAAAAAAAAAATATCAATATTTTGATCAAATGAAATTGTGAAAATTGCAGCTTCTCCACTGCAAATTAAATTTTTCATCCCAAATAGAAAATCTGCGCGCGTGTAAATTGGCTCCCAGCCTTGTAGGGTGGGAAATCTGCCTCCTCCTCTTCCTCCTCCTCCCACCCCACTCCGGTGGGGTAGTGGGGGATGCACGTGGTCTCCAGGTTCCCATCCTCTCCTGCCTTTCCCCTCTGGAGTTGGTTTTCTCAGGTGTTTTAGGATGTTACTGATCCCATGTTACTGATCCCATTTGGGATGCCTTAAATAGAATTTGTTTGTTTCTCTAACTCAGGCATTGACAGAACAGTTGACAGATGAGGAGCTTGCACAAGGAAGACTTTATCCTCCACTGTCTAATATCAGGGAAGTTTCTATTTATATCGCTGTCAAGGTGAGTATGAAGCATAAATGTGGACTGTACTAAGAGTGGTTTATGTCTACATTAACTTGCTGTGAATTGCACAGCGTGATCCTTGAACACGAGGTGCTCGGGCACAAAATACCCAGTTCTTTGTGCCTTTAATAAGAGACACTTATAAAAATCTTGGGTTTCTCAGATGCTTCGGTTTGGCAGTGATGATGGGCCAAAAATTATGGTCCTTTGATTTCTGAAATCCAGTTTTCACACCCCTGGTAAGGCATTCGGTACTGGGGCCACTTCTCTTTAACATCTTTATCAATGACCTGGACGAGGGGATCGAGTGCACCCTCAGTAAGTTCACAGATGGTACCAAGTTGGGTGGGAGTGTTGACCTGCTGGAGGGTAGAAAGCTTTGCAGAGGGATCTGGACAGGCTGGATGGATGGGCGTAGGCCAATGGGATGAGGTTCAACAAGGCCAAGTGCCGGGTCCTGCCCTTGGGTCACACCAACCCCATGGAGGCTCCAGGCCTGGGGCAGAGTGGCTGGAGCTGCCTGGCAGAAAAGGACCTGGGGGTGTTGGTCAACTGTTGGCTGAACATGAGCCAGCAGCGTGCCCAGGTGGCCAAGAAGGCCACCAGCATCCTGGCCTGTATCAGGAACAGCATGGGGAGTAGGACTTAGGAGGTGATGGTCCCCCTGTCCTGGGCACTGGTGAGGCCCCACCTTGAGTGCTGTGTCCAGTTTTGGGCCCTCACCACAAAAAAGACCTTGAGGGGCTGGAGCGTGTCCCGAGAAGGGCAACGGAGCTGGTGAGGGGTCTGGAGCACAAGTCTTGTGAGGAGAGGCTGAGGGAGCTGGGGGGGTTCAGCCTGGAGAAAAGGAGGCTGAGGGGAGACCTTCTCGCTCTCTCCAACTCCCTGAAAGGAGGGTGTAGCCAGGGGGGGTCGGTCTCTTCTCCCAAGGAACAGGCCATGGGACAAGAGGAAACAGCCTCAAGTTGCTCCAAGGGAGGTTTAGGATGGATATTAGGGAAAATGTCTTCCCTGAAAGGGTTATTAAGCCTTGGAATGGGCTGCCCAGGGCAGTGGTGGAGTCACCATCCCTGGAGGGATTTAAAAGCTGGGCAGACACAACGCTTAGTGATGGTTTAGTGGTGGGTTTTATCAGAGTTAGGTTGATGGTTGGACTCCATGATCATAAAGATCCCTTCCAACCTGGACAATTCTACGATTCAGGACTTTGGTGGTTGCCTTCATCCAGTTTGTGAGTCCTAAACGTATCGCAGGGGAGGCCTGGATGTTAACGTGAAGGTAGTAAAAGGCACGAACTGATTTAACTTTCCAGGTGATGGAATTTTTGTACGCAAACAACATGGCTTTCCATTACCCCGAGCCTGCAGACAAGAACCGTTACATTCGATCCAAAGTTTGGACCTACGAATACGAGTCCTTCATGCCAGACGTGTACGACTGGCCTGAATCTAAAGTTCACTGACACCTCGGAAGATCGCGCTCCTCAGGCAGTATCTTCTACTCTGCAGGGATCCCCTTTTCCAGACCAATTTAAATCATCATCTTTTGAGTCCTGTTAATATGAAATTGTGAAAATTGCAGCTTCTCCACTGCAAATTAAATTTTTCATCCCAAATAGAAAATCTGCGCGCGTGTAAATTGGCTCCCAGCCTCATAGGGCTGGTGGTAAATCTGCCTCCTCCTCTTCCTCCTCCTCCCACCCCACTCCGGTGGGGTGGTGGGGGATGCACGTGGTCTCCAGGTTCCCATCCTCTCCTGCCTTTCCCCTCTGGAGTTGGTTTTCTCAGGTGTTTTAGGATGTTACTGATCCCATGTTACTGATCCCATTTGGGATGCCTTAAATAGAATTTGTTTGTTTCTCTAACTCAGGCATTGACAGAACAGTTGACAGATGAGGAGCTTGCACAAGGAAGACTTTATCCTCCACTGTCTAATATCAGGGAAGTTTCTATTTATATCGCTGTCAAGGTGAGTATGAAGCATAAATGTGGACTGTACTAAGAGTGGTTTATGTCTACATTAACTTGCTGTGAATTGCACAGCGTGATCCTTGAACACGAGGTGCTCGGGCACAAAATACCCAGTTCTTTGTGCCTTTAATAAGAGACACTTATAAAAATCTTGGGTTTCTCAGATGCTTCGGTTTGGCAGTGATGATGGGCCAAAAATTATGGTCCTTTGATTTCTGAAATCCAGTTTTCACACCCCTGGTAAGGCATTCGGTACTGGGGCCACTTCTCTTTAACATCTTTATCAATGACCTGGACGAGGGGATCGAGTGCACCCTCAGTAAGTTCACAGATGGTACCAAGTTGGGTGGGAGTGTTGACCTGCTGGAGGGTAGAAAGCTTTGCAGAGGGATCTGGACAGGCTGGATGGATGGGCGTAGGCCAATGGGATGAGGTTCAACAAGGCCAAGTGCCGGGTCCTGCCCTTGGGTCACACCAACCCCATGGAGGCTCCAGGCCTGGGGCAGAGTGGCTGGAGCTGCCTGGCAGAAAAGGACCTGGGGGTGTTGGTCAACTGTTGGCTGAACATGAGCCAGCAGCGTGCCCAGGTGGCCAAGAAGGCCACCAGCATCCTGGCCTGTATCAGGAACAGCATGGGGAGTAGGACTTAGGAGGTGATGGTCCCCCTGTCCTGGGCACTGGTGAGGCCCCACCTTGAGTGCTGGGTCCAGTTTTGGTTCCCCCACCACAAAAAAGACATTGAGGGGTTGGAGCGTGTCCCGAGAAGGGCAACGGAGCTGGTGAGGGGTCTGGAGCACAAGTCTTGTGAGGAGAGGCTGAGGGAGCTGGGGGGGTTCAGCCTGGAGAAAAGGAGGCTGAGGGGAGACCTTCTCGCTCTCTCCAACTCCCTGAAAGGAGGGTGTAGCCAGGGGGGGTCGGTCTCTTCTCCCAAGGAACAGGCCATGGGACAAGAGGAAACAGCCTCAAGTTGCTCCAAGGGAGGTTTAGGATGGATATTAGGGAAAATGTCTTCCCTGAAAGGGTTATTAAGCCTTGGAATGGGCTGCCCAGGGCAGTGGTGGAGTCACCATCCCTGGAGGGATTTAAAAGCTGGGCAGACACAACGCTTAGTGATGGTTTAGTGGTGGGTTTTATCAGAGTTAGGTTGATGGTTGGACTCCATGATCATAAAGATCCCTTCCAACCTGGACAATTCTACGATTCAGGACTTTGGTGGTTGCCTTCATCCAGTTTGTGAGTCCTAAACGTATCGCAGGGGAGGCCTGGATGTTAACGTGAAGGTAGTAAAAGGCACGAACTGATTTAACTTTCCAGGTGATGGAATTTTTGTACGCAAACAACATGGCTTTCCATTACCCCGAGCCTGCAGACAAGAACCGTTACATTCGATCCAAAGTTTGGACCTACGAATACGAGTCCTTCATGCCAGACGTGTACGACTGGCCTGAATCTAAAGTTCACTGACACCTCGGAAGATCGCGCTCCTCAGGCAGTATCTTCTACTCTGCAGGGATCCCCTTTTCCAGACCAATTTAAATCATCATCTTTTGAGTCCTGTTAATTTATTTTTCGCTCATTTTGTTGTCTTTTTTCCCCTCGTTACCCTGTTTTTCACTTGGCGTAGATCTCTCCCCAGCACCTGATAAACTGTAGGGATAATGGCATCTGTCACAGGAATGAGAGAGCTCTCCAAAATTAATTTAAATATTGATATTGCATTTCTTGCTCAGAATCTGCACCAGAATTCCATTAATGATGTTTTTTGCTACGATGATCTATAGCTCTCTCATCACTGTTGGCTTCCAGAATGATTTATTTCTGCTTTTAATAATCAGTCTTCTCCTCGTCCTACTGTTGTCACGCTGCGTTATCCGTGACGTCGCCGGAGAGCATTTGTCAAAGGTAAAAAAAACCAACATCTTAAGACAAATTTAACAGTCTCGTGGGCTTTCTGGTTTGTCTGATGTGTAAAGATGCCCCTGTCCAGGCTTCCTCGTGGCATTGGCTGCTCTGATTTTTTTTGAGGAGCAGCATCATGTCTGTATTCCATGTTCTGCATCAATCTATTATCAGGAAAAATGTGAGCTCGTTCCAATTATCCTTGGAAAGCCCAACAAATAATCTTAACCACTTAATAGCTTTGCAAAACGAAGCTACGCCGTTGCCTGATAAATCATATCACAGAAAGGCAGGATCTGAAATAATCAATAGAAATCTTTTAGAGATTTTTTTTTTTTTCCAAGACTTTCTGCAGTGGACTCCAAGGGGAGGTACCAGAGGCTTTATGTTCAGCATTAATTTTTTTGTCAAGGTTCTGTTTCTCCTGAGCTAAATTGTTTTCTCCCCAAAAAAGCCTCGTGCGTGGTGTTTTCGTGACATCGCTGACTCCGAAACTCCTAAGAGGTCTCGGTTGCCGCTTCGAACAAACTCCCCCCCCACACACACACACATGCAGCTGAACCAAAAAGCAGCACAGGCAGCTATTGACACCCCCATTTCCAGTTGGACCAAAGGTTTCTTGTGGTCTCAGCCCAGTAGGTTCAGTTCAATTCGACTACAGGACTCGAAAGATCTCAGATGCTCCAAATCGAGCGCTTCACCTTCCTCGGCTCCGTTTACAGCTTTCATTTTTCGGGCCTTTTTGTGTTAAAAAATCCCAAATCAAGTTTTCAGATCCCTGGGAAAAGGAAGAAGACTTTGGTGTTTGTCTTTAGCCAGTTTGTGAGTCCTAAACATATCGCAGAGTTGATTTTTCTTTTTTTTTCTCCTTGCAGTGAATATTACTGCACATTTGATGCCGATACCACAATGTGCATTCCTTTTCATCTTGTTCCTATCTGGTTTGAGTTGCCCTCCAGTATTTTTATTTTTTTTTAACAGCAGCGAGAGTTACAGTCGGTGGTGACTCTAAATCTGGTCTCCTTAACAAGAACAATGGTATGTCAGGAACAGAAATAAATAACATGTGCTGCATCGAGGCGAAAAAGGACAAAAAATAAATAGATAGATAGATGTAAAAGGGCTATACCAGCAAACTTGAAGCTGGAATCCAAAGAGGTGTTGAAGTAAAGCTTGCTTGGGATTTACCAGCAGCAAACACCTCTCTCATATCCTCATTTATACTGGAAAATGCATTCTCCACCCAAAATAGAGCAGAGAAAATAATCTCTGAACCCCCTTCGACACGATCTCTGTCGCTTACCGCCCGGCCCCTGATTTTCAAACGAAATTCACATCTTAGATAAAAAAGAACAATAAACTTTGGGAAGGCTTTACCTAAGTGAGGAAAGAAGACTGATTATATAAACCCAGAAAATAGTGATTTCGGGGAAATTCAGTGTACCAATAAGCCCAGAGCTAGTATTTCAATATTTGAGCATCCTTGCCCACCTCAGGCAAGCAGTCCAGACTGTTCAACAGTACATGGTTCATTGCTGTCAACATTATCTTGTAAGTATATGTAAAAAAAAAAAAAAAAAGACCAATACCCACGTACAGTGTTTTTACAAAGAATGCTTTTTTTCCATCTATTTTTGCTATGCCTGGTTTTTATTGTATTTAAATTTGTGATCTTACTGAGAAATTATTTATTTAGTTGGGGTGGGAGGGAATTCAACTCTAGCTGAAGCCCGTCGCAGCGTCTCAGTGGAGTTCTGCATCACTGGATTCGAGTATCTCGGGTACGCACACTTTCTTCACCTCTGCCAATTAGTACTAATTAGGCAGACGAGTAACTCCAATATCCCATGCACTGATTTTGTGTCCCGGCTGAGAATGATCATAGAGGCAGGGCAATCGGTTCCGGAAAAATAACTCTTGTCTTATAAAAAAAATAAAGATCTGCATCCATCTCTTCAGTCTGATTATTTTATTTTATTTTATTTTATTTTTATTTTTATTTTATTTTTTTTTCAGGCCAGAAGTGCAGTTTAAGGTCCGTAATCAGTGGGAATTGATAGTACTTAGGAAGAGGAAGAGTTTTGGGGGAAATAGTGTTACCTGCAGGCAGTAGGAGCTGTGATTTGGGTTCACAAAGGGACCTCCCCCGCAGTAAAATTGCAGGAAAATTGGCTGCTGCCAAGCTGAGGGATGGAGCCCGTTTCCCTCCCTGCTGTCTTTAAGCAGGAGTTAACTTCAGAACTGGCCAGAGTTGGGATTTTCCCCAAGGAGAGAATATTCTTGTGTAATTTTTTCTGGAAATCCCACCGCACGGGTGAGGAATAAACCAGTCTTTAACCAGTTTGGAGGCTCCAGTGGGGCTGGGGATGTGTCGGAGCTCTCAGGTGGAGAAGGGCCTGACTGTGTCTCTCTAACCTCTCCCAGTTACAGCAGCTAAATGGTACCAGTTAGACTTCATCTATGCATACCCACCTGTGGAGATTGTTTAATCGAGTTCTGTGAATCATCTATAGCTTGCAATAATATGGAATTTTATCTTTAATGTATGGATATTATTTTCCATTACTAACAGGTAACATGTCAGCTCACACGATTTTAAGTGCATTTCCCTCTCCCTTTTATCTTTTTTAAAATGAAATACATAAATTCATCTTCAGTTTTACGTATTCTTCAGATCTAATTAATCTTGGAATTAATTACAGCTGCTAATCTTGCCGCTTAGTAAGGAACCACAGTGTCCTTTTTTGGTGTTCTACTTAACCTGATTTTTTTCTATTTGTTGGCTTATTCAGAAGCATTTACCGATCTTGATTTCTACAGAAAATTCTCTTCCGTGGTATGCAAAGGGAAAAAAGTTGTCATCAGGATGCATTTTGTAACACCGCATAGTGTAAGTTAAGCTTATACTTTTATTAAAAATATATATGTATCACCTGAAGGATGACTAGTGTTGTAGCTCTTACCACAGCCCCGGTGATTTTTGTCCTCCGAATGGTATAGAAGCCGGTCTTTAGTGTCTCTTCTGTGAGGATACTCTTCTGGAGATACAAAACGCTTCTGAGAGGGTCAGAAATTCCCCCTGAGGACAGTAGCTCTGTTTTTTCCAGGACTGGTCCAAGACTTGCTTCTTTAAAATCAACAGGAGCAGGACGGAGCCTCTTGGCAGCAAGGTGTAGAAATGCCATGGGGAGGAGAAGGGGTAGCTAAGGGAGCGCAGCCTTTTTTTTTATTAAATATGTGTGTTCTCGTTCAAAGATATTACAAAGGTTTTTATGTTCCTGAAGCGTATGCCCTTGTGCCAATAATTGACGTGTAGAGGAAGACAATTAAAATGTTGTGTCTGATAGATTTTGAAAACCCAAATGTGACTCTTCGCCAAAGTTCTCGGTTCTGTTTGTGGACAGTGATGTTTCACTATGTTGTGTTTGTTTTCTGAGCCTAAAAATGAAGCCACCCTTCACGTGTGGGTCGGTGTTTAACGGGTTTCTTGTGGTAGGTGTGTGTTTTCTCTGTGCTGTTGTTTCCAGCGTGCTGTTTGGTGGGAAGGGCGTAACATAACCCTTTGTCACACTCCTCTGGTAGTAACTGTAAAGATAAATGATACGCCTTTTAGTTTACTCATTAGCGGCCCTGTTTGGTGATTACTCCTGTAAGAGGGCTGTGGGGATCCCTGATGTACAGCTACAAGTGCAAATTTTAGTTCAGCTGACTCTGGGCCTAAGTTAATCCAAGTTGTCTCTCATTTGCTCCGGGTCTTCTTGACTTGAAAGGTGCAGTTTGAGCACCCCCATAATTCGGAGACTCTGGGATCGGACTGCAGGAACTGTATGGACTCCCATTCTGTCTCGGCTATCTCAGCGCTGTTCCTCAGTTTAAGAAAACCACTGTTATTTTGGGACTCTTTTTGAGATGACACCTGCTGCTATCCCGTTTCATAACAGCCGCACGGAACGGGGGACCGGTGTTACATTGAATACTGGAGCAAGGAGAAAATCTAGAGCAAAGCTCTAATTGCACCCGCTTGACGGCTGAACTTTTGAGCAATGGAACTCGGTTGCCACTGGTGAAGGGACATCTAATTCTGCTTGGATCTACCTTGACCTACCTACCTACTCCCGAAATACCTATTACCATGGTATCGGATTCTGGGTGAAATCCAGAATTCCTCTGCTTCCTGCCTGCTCCGGGGGGCAGACATGCCAGCAGCCAGAAGGTGCACGGGGAATCCGGTGGCATGATGGACCTTGGCCATGGGTCATATCAACCATCAGCATCTGTGATCCCCTGGGTGGGACCAGACTCTCCGAGTACCTTTGACTTATGCAGCCTTTGGGTAGTTCCTTTCTAATGGAAATAAAAAAAAACTTTAAGGACTACACAAACATTTTCATTAAGGAATAAAATGTCCAAGTAATTTACATGTATTTCTATCCTAACCATATCTACCTAATAAAATAAACCTAAGTTTACTGGGGCGCTTTTGAGGGCAGTTCTGGCTGAATCTGTCCAGGTTTGACTGCACCTGGGAGGGTCATTGCTCAGCTGAAACTAAAATTGTATTTAAATATGAACTGATTGGGTTTTGTTTGGGTTTTTTGGTTTTTTTTTTTCCTCCTTTATAACATTGTAACTCTATGGAAACGCGTGTGGAAACGTGGTCTTCTATTTTCTTAGTAAAATGCATTCCCTTTGCCTAAACTGCGTTAAAAAAGAAAAAAAATAAGGCTTGACTTATACCCAATTGCCTCAAACACCGACTTTATTTATAGCTGGGTCCCCCCTCCGGCCGGCCTGGCCCCGGGCCCTCCGCAGGCCCAGACCCCGGTCTTGCCGCGGGGCCTTCCCGGCCTGTGAGGGCGCTGAGGCGGCGGGGCCGGGCCGGGCCCTGCGCGGGCTCCGCCTGCCGCCGCCCGGGGGAGGGAGAGGCCGGGCCGGGCCTGGGCCTTGGCCTTATTTTCTGACAGAACCCCGCCGCCCCCGGAGCCGCCTCCCGGCCCAGCGGCCTCCTCACCACCCGGCCCTTCCTCGGGCCTTTCCCCTCAAGCCCTCCCGGGGAGCGGCGGGGGGAGGCGGCGGGGCCGGCCCGGCCTGGCCCGTGAGGTGATTTCGGGAGGGGCGAGGCCTCGCCGGGCCGCAAATCCCGGGCGTTTACGCCGAGGCCGCTCAGCTGGGAAGATGTTAATGTGCTTTTTACACTGAGGAAAAGGAAGCAAAAGGTTTATTTCTGCTTTTTTTTGGGGGGAGGGGGTGTGCGGTGCGCGTTTATGAGGTAATTCCCTCGGGAGGGCACCAGGGAGGAGGGCTGCTCTCCTTCAGAGAGCTGTGGCAGCTCCTCTGAAAGAAACTAAAGCCGAGAAATCGGTAATTCTTTTGTCTGAAAAGTCTCTGAAGCTGCTGAGGCACCCGGAGGCTGAAATGAGGTGGAAATACATCTGAAAAGGGAGGTAGGGACCGAGCCAGGGAGGACTATGGCTGGAGGAAAGCGCAGCCTGAGGCAGCATCCGAGTTGTGCAGGTGGAAGTTCTGCTCCTGACCGTGGCTTTCCAAAGGTTGTCCTGCTCCTGCTGACCAGCCCAGGCTCCTCATCCCAAGGCTACAGCAGGTACAGGAACAATAGGGATACAGCAGCTGATCCTACAGATCCTCCCGCTGCAATCCGTGTCCCGTGGTGTGTCTGACACGCAGCCTTCAGGCCACGCAAAGGCCTGGCGGTGGCTAATTTTTCACTTAAAATATTAGAGCATTTCCAGCCGGATGGGGCTGTTTCTTTAGGTAGTGAACAAGGGATTTATGCTTGAGCTGCGTGTTTGCAACCTCCCGTTGATAATGGAAAAGAAATCTCCTTGTAAATACTGTGTTGTCTGCAAATCATATCCTACTCCAGGGAGGTTTTACTTCTATTTTTTAAGGGAAGGGGAATTTGATCCTCACAAAGTACATAGTGTGCCCTCAGGGAAAGCACTTGTGCTGTTTCTTTCCCAGCATAAATACCTATGTTCAGCAGCTAAAAATCTCTTTTTTTTTTTTTTTTTAATTTTTTTTGCAGGAGACGTACCAACATATTCAAAATGTCGATGGATATAACTTTCCTCGGCACGGGCTCGGCGTATCCCTCGCCAACGAGAGGAGCGTCGGCGGTCGTGCTTCGCCGGGAAGGGGAGTGCTGGCTCTTCGACTGCGGGGAGGGAACTCAAACCCAGTTCATGAAGAGCCACCTCCGAGCAGGTTTGTGCTGTTGGGAGGTGTTGTGATGAGGGGAGGGGAAAAGTTTCGTGAGATCTAAACCGAAACGCGTCGTCCTCCTGCTCAGGGTATTTGAATACCTCCTAAAAACAGACACGAGCGTCTGAAGGTGCTGCCGATGGGTGGGAGTTGCTGAACCTGCTGTGCAATAATCCTCGATTGCCCTTTGGTGAAAAAGAGTGTTTGGGAACCAAACTCTCCTCGAATTAATTTCTCAGGCTTTGTAATTTCAAATGGGGACCACTCTGTGGGGCTTTAAACTGGTGCGGTTTGTATGTGTCTGAAGGCAGCTCTAGACAACACCTGCCGTGAATCTTCTGTCAATAAATATTGGGGTTTTGTTTTCAAGGAAAGTTGCGTAACTTTCACACTTTTGGGAAATAAAGTGGAAGCCAGAGTTACCCTCAGTCGCTGTGCTTTTGCAGCCTGCAGTGGCAAGAGCAGACTTGGGACTCTTGAGTTTTCAAGCTCAAATTATCAATTTTAAACAGAAAACCAACCTCCTCCTCCTCTGAAATCTGAAGCTAGCAGGGGATTGAATGACCAAGACTAATCTTTACGAAATTTACCGAGTTTTACTAAATCGTTCTTAAATCTAAACCAAAGAGATTCTGCCCTTCCCATTGCCCATCCCTAAGAGATGCTGGAGAAAATGCCTTGTTGTGAGGAAGCAGGAACTCAGCTGGCAGAGGAGACTGAGGCAGCCTGATCAAAGTACACGTGTCTGCAATGAGAGAACATTCTAGGGTTTTTATTTGATCTGGCAAGGTCAGGGCTCGGTTCCAGGGAGCTGGAGTGAGACAAACTCAGACCCGGAGCGAAGCCCAAATCCTTAAATGCATGTTTTGTCTTAGAAAGAACTAAAACTTTTGTTTGGGCAGTTCTTTTCTTGACAAATCAAGCCAAAATAAAACTCAGGTGGACACTTACCGCTGCTGTGGCACAAAAAGTACTTTGTGGTTTGGAATTTATTGCTTAAAAACTGGTTTTATTTTAATTTTCCTCCTTCCTTATTTCCGCCTGCTTGCCAAAAAGGGATTATTTCTGAGTTGTTATGGCGTTCATTTATTTTTCCTGTCTTTTCCTGGTTTGTTTTTCTTTTCCTGTTCTAATTGCTAGGCAGAATTACCAAGATTTTCATAACTCATCTTCACGGTGATCACTTCTTTGGTCTTCCTGGCCTGCTGTGTACAATTTCCCTCCAAAGCAGCCCTGACCCCAACAAACCACCCGTTGATATTTACGGACCGTTAGGGCTCCGAAACTTCATCTGGAGGAGTATGGAGCTCTCCCACTCCCAACTTCTCTTTCCCTACACTGTTCATGAACTGGTTCCTACACGGGACCAGTGCCCCGCGGAGGAATTTAAGGACTTTTCTGACTTGGATGGAGGTGAGGTGTCTCCCCAGGGAGCACAAGGGAGAATCCTCCACCTGGATCCTGTGGAAAACTCCTACTTGCTGGTTGAGGATGAGCAGCTGGTTCTGAAAGCCTTCCGCCTTTTTCACCGCGTTCCTTCCTTTGGCTTCGTGCTGGAAGAGAAACCCCGGACCGGTAAACTCAATGTACAGAAGCTGAAAGACCTTGGTAACTACTTTGACTTATTTTTCTTCTTTTTTAATCTCTTTTAAATGCCTAAATGCATGTGTTCAAGCTGGGGAGTGACTCCGATTTTCAGCCAATGTAACAACGTGGCGTTCGCAGGCAATTAAAATCTTTTTATGATCTGGGGGGGTTCTAGCAAATTAGAGCTGCTGTATCTCTCCGTAAAATCCATTTTAATTCCATTTTCTGTTGTCTGTTGAAGACGTTTTAATACTTCATACCAGGGCAGCAGTCTGAATTGGTGTGTAACGCCAGCGCCGATTAATATCGGAGGCCGGTCTCGTCCTGGGGAGAGCAAACAAGTTCCACCGTTAACGATTAAAAAGCCCAACGTGGCTCTCGGGGAAACATACGGCCGGCGTATTTGCATGACTTTATTGACTTTCATATGAAGAATGTAGCTTTTTCTTCATGCACACTTCCTGCTGGTGTTACAAGCTCTTTGTTTTTGTAAGAAGCGCATGAAATATCAATGGCTGTTTATACTGAGGTTGTATTTTTTTCAGTGAGACAGCTCTATTTATAGCGTATCTCTTCTGAAGTTGATATCATCGTCTCCTAATACTCAGGGACTCTTTTTGCCTTCATTTACCAGGAGTTCAACCAGGTCCTTTATATGGGAAACTGAAGAACGGGACGCCAATCGTTCTAGAGAACGGAGTAACAATTTCTCCTTCAGACGTCTTAGAAGACCCTATTCCTGGGAGAAAAATTGGCATTTTGGGGGATTGTTCGGGGGTGGTTGGAGACGCGGCGCTGAGGCTTTGCCGTGGAGCCGATGTGTTGATACACGAAGCCACGCTGGACGATAGCCAAGAGGAGAAGGCCAGAGAGCACGGCCATAGCACTCCGAAAATGGCATCGGATTTTGCCAAATCGTGTCAAGTGAAGAAACTGGTTTTGACTCACTTCAGCCAGCGGTATAAACCGGCTGCGCAGAGAGGGGAGGGAGATGGGGACGTCACCGAGCTGAAGAGACAGGCGGAGTCGGTGTTAGATGGCCAAGAGGTAACTCTTGCTGAGGATTTTCTGACCATAGAAGTTCCAATGAAAAAGTAAAAATAGTGTTAGCGGGCTGGGGGATTGTTCGGGGGTGGTTGGAGACGCGGCGCTGAGGCTTTGCCGTGGAGCCGATGTCTTGATACACGAAGCCACGCTGGATGATAGCCAAGAGGAGAAGGCCAGGGAGCACGGCCATAGCACCCCGAAAATGGCATCGGATTTTGCCAAATCGTGTCAAGTGAAGAAACTGGTTTTGACTCACTTCAGCCAGCGGTATAAACCGGCTGCGCAGAGAGGGGAGGGAGATGGGGACGTCACCGAGCTGAAGAGACAGGCGGAGTCGGTGTTAGATGGTCAAGAGGTAATGCTTGCTGAGGATTTTCTGACCATAGAAGTTCCAATGAAAAAGTAAAAATAGCGTTAGGGGGCTCTGTCTGGAGATGGGAAGGAGGAAAGCGTTGGAGAGTGCTTAAAAATAATAGGATTTCCAGATTCCTAAATGAATTCTCTTTGGAATGAAGGAACCATCGCACGCTGGAGAGGGTACTGGGTACATTCTGCAAGAAAAAGGGATGCTCAAACATCTGGAACTCGAAATAACTTCCTAAGGGATGGTTTCAGATACCTAAACTCCCCAGAAACCGACCACGTGGGCTGGCAGAAGCCTCCACAGCCCGGGGTCTCCTCTTCTCCAGGCTGAATAACCCCAGCTCCCTCAGCCTCTCCTCATAAGAGAGGAGAAGAAGGAAGGTGTTGGAGAGTGCTTAAAAACAATAGGATTTCCAGATTCCAAATGAGGATGCTCAAATATCTGGAACTCGAAATAACTTCTTAAGGGGTGGTTTCAGACACCTAAAATCCCCAGAAACTGACTGCGTGGGCTGGCGGAAGCCTTCACAGCCCGGGCTTTTTCCTTGGACCACGGATTCCTAGAGCAGAGATTCCTAGATCATGGATCTTAAAAGGTTTGTGTTCTGCACCGGAATTTAAGATCTCTCACCTTGGAATAAACAGTGTTTTGTAACTGTTACCCTATTGCTGTGTAAGAAGACAATTACCCTCAAACTAATAAAGTATTTATACCCCTGGCAAGTGTTTGTAGCTGGGAGTGTCGCTCTGCTCGGCTTGAGGAGCTCTTACGACTCTCCCTTTGCGTATGAAGTTTTCTCATAAATAAGTAATAGTTTGAAAAGTGAATCACTCCGAACAATTTGATCCATTTAAAGCTCCGAAGGGTGACCTATTCTCTGCATCACTGAAGTTTTGGAAGTAAATTCTGGAGGTCTTTAGGTCCGTACCCTGGAGAGGGGACAGCAGAGGGCTACAAAGATGATCAAGGGCCTGGAGCATCTCTCTGATGAGGAAAGGCTGAGGGACTTGGGTCTTTTGAGAAGAGAAGACTGAGGGGGGATCTGATCAAGGCCTACAAATACTTGAAGGGTGGGTGTCAGGAGGATGGGGCCAGGCTTTTTTCAGTGGTGCCCAGGGACAGGACAAGAGGGAACGGGTACAAACTTGACCATCAGAAGTTCCATCTCAACATGAGGAGGAATTTCTTTGGTGTGAGGGTGGCAGAGCCCTGGAAGAGGCTGCCCAGAGAGGTGGTGGAGTCTCCTTCTCTGGAGACATTCCAACCCCACCTGGACACGTTCCTGTGCGACCTGCTCTGGGTGGCCCTGCTTTGGGAGGGGGTTGGAGGAGATGCTCTCCAGAGGTCCCTTCCAACCCCATAGCATTCTGTGATTTCTTTAAAAAAAAATACTGAGAGGAGTTGCAAACTGTAAGAACATGTCTTCTGGAGCAGAAACTCACAGATTTCTAGGGCTTCTCCCTCAGAAACGGTGTAAAGTGTGCAGAATCACGTGGTGGTGTGTTCTTTCCCCCCCTAAATTCTTTTTTAAGATGAAAAATTAACGGCAGGTGCAGAGATCTCGATACCCCACTCTGATTTACGTAGTCAAAAGCTGAGCAGACTCCAGATATTCTACAAGAACTTTTCCTCATTGTCCTGACCTGCTCTGCTACATCAGCTCCCACCCTGGGACAACCCAAAATTCCGATTTTTAAGCCGTTGGTGAATTTTAGGGACCAACTTCAAGGCTGGAAATAATACCAAAGGATGACCCAAAAGCTGTTTCACCCTGAAATGCGCTTGTGCTGGATTGAGCTGCTCCCAAAATGGGTTTTTCTTTGTAGAAATACGTACATTTTTGCATCCTTGTGGTTAATTAATTGCTGTGAATTCCGGGATCGCTCTGGTTCAAACGCCGTGAGGGTGAGATGAATCCATGGTCCAGAGCGAACGCTGGATTAACTTCATGGCTGCCTTTTTTGAAAAATTAATTTCTTTTTGTGGCATTCCTGTATTTTCAATTCAATATATTTTAACATTTTTGATGGAGTTACAGTTGTGTCCTTCGTAGCAGACCCATGTGGTTCTGCTTACCCTGGCCCACTCTTCTCTCTTCAGCCTGGGCACTAAATTAACTTCATAAATCTGACTGCTGGTGAGACTTGAATTAAATTCATGGGGGACATGTGCGCCAGGAAGGACAGAAAAAATTTGGACCATAAATTGTCTATTTTCACAATGAGTTTATCTCCCCATTAACCGTTCCTTAATTGCCAGAGAACAAAATTCCTTCGCATTAAAATATATTTGCCTGAGAATATTTTCGTCTGACGGCAGGTAGAGGACTCCAGTCTGGTCCCCCAGGGACCAGGAGGGTGTTTTAACAAGTTCTGGGTATGTAAATGAAGATTTATTGATTTTTTTTCTTTTAATAACTTGTTTTTAAAAGTTCTTCTGCTTTCCTGGAAGAGTTCCTCTGTGTTTGGTTCCATTTTTTTATCCGGTACCAGCGGAGGGACTTGATAAAACGCGAAAGAAGCTTTTAATGTTACGGGGAAAGAAGAGGAGGGAGGAAACGAGACGTGAGGAGTTTTGTGACAGAGGAGATGTCCCTCCATTCTACGTGTCCAGGGCTCGAAATCCAGTTGGGAAAAGGGATCCTTGATCCTGGAGGTGGTTCAGCCTTTGGGATCCACCTCTCCCTACGATGGGACACTTCATCTGGCGGTGAAACACAATCTTCATTTGGGAGCATTTCTATTTCTTTCTTTATTTATTTATTTTAAACAGACTTTTCAAACAATTTGCTCCTCCTGAATTACGCGATGGGACACTTCATCTGGCGGTGAAACACGATCTTCGCTTGGGAGCATTTCTATTTTTTTATTTATTTATTTTTAAAACAGACTTTTCAAACAATTTGTTCCTCCTGAATTACATTCGTTTGTAAGGAAAAGGGGATGAATTATTTACCTGGGGTGGCTTCCTTCTAGAAATCGAATTTCTGGCGAGGTGGTGGGACTGATCCAGGTCTCGCTGAAATCGGTGGTTTGGCACATAGTCGTTAGAACGCCTTAATGCATTTTTTATGAAGAATAAAAACGTATTGATTGGGATCTTGAGGTAGAACAAGCTCCAGAAATTGGATCAAAGTAACGTTTTTAGGGGCGGGGGATGATGGATGCTAAACCACAACATGTTAAATTGATCCTGCTCCTACCAGCGTTTGAGATTTGACGGATGTTTAGAGGAGTTTTAGGTGGTTGGAAAAAGTATGATTTTGTTGGGGCACAGCATCCCCGCAGCCTTCCAAAATCATCTTAAAGGTCTACAAAGGTGCTTCTCAGGACTAATTATTGCTGGAGCTGGTTGGGTTTGGATAAAGATGAGGCAGAAGCTCAGCATCTTCCCTGGTGAAGCACCTTTCTGGTGGTCACCCCAGTCTCTTACAGCTCCAGGGTATCCTTTCCTTGTGTGCTGCTGCTGGCTGTGGTGGGATGGAACCATGGAATGGTTTGGGATGGAAGGGACCTTCAAGACCATCCAGTCCCACCCCCTGCCCTGGGCAGGGACACCTCCCACCAGACCAGGTTGCTCCAAGCCCCCTCCAACCTGGCCTTGAACCCCTCCAGGGATGGGGCAGCCACAGCTTCTCTGGCCAACCTGGGCCAGGCTCTCACCACCCTCACACCAAAGAAGTTCTTCCCCACATCTCATCTCCATCTCCCCTCTTTCAGTGTCAAACCCTTCCCTCTCATCCTGTGGCTCCCCTCCCTAATCAAGAGTCCCAGAATGACGAAGACAATTTGAGTCCCTGTTTTAATTAGTAGAGGAACAATGCAATTAGGAGCGGGAGGTGGTTCATGGTGGGCCTTGAAAGCCAACTGTTGGCTGTCACCCATGGAAGGAGATGTAACGTATTCTATTTAGACTTAAGGGGGTTGTATTTCCTGGGCCATATATTTATGGGGGTTGCGTTTCCCAGGCCATATATTTTTGGGGGTTGCCTTTATGGGGCCGAGCATTTATTGGGGTTGCATTTGGGGCATTTTGGACTTGTGGGGGTTGCATTTCTGGGGCTGTGAGTTAGTTGGGGTTGCATTTGTGGGGTGTTGCACTTATGGGGGCTTTATGTCCCAGGCCATATATTTATGGGGATTGTATTTATAGGACTGTGCATTTATTGGGGTTGCATTTGGGGGATTTTGGGCTCATGGGGGTTGCATTTGTGGGGCTGTGAATTAGTTGGGGTTGCATTTGTGGGGTGTTGCACTTATGGGGGCTTTATGTCCCAGGCCATATATTTTTGGGGGTTGTATTTCTGGGGCTGTGCATCAGTTGGGGTTGTTTTTGTAGGGTTTTCACTTAAGGGGGTTGCATTTCCCAGGCAATACAATTATGGGGGTTGCATTTATGGGGCCATGCATTTATTGGTGTTGCATTTGTGGGATTTTGGACTTTTGGGGGTTGCATTTGCGGGGCTGTGAGTTAGTTGGGGTTGCATTTGTGGGGTGTTGCACTTATGGGGGCTTTATTTCCCGGGCCATATATTTATGGGGGTTGTATTTCCCAGTCCATATATTTTTGGGCGTTGTATCTATGGGACTGTACATTTATTGGGGTTGCATTTGGGGGATTTTGGGCTTGTGGGGGCTGCATTTCTGGGGCTGTGCATCAGTTGGGGTTGCATTTAGGGGATTTTGGGCTCGTGGGG